CGTGGGATTTGAACCCTAGACCTGCTACTTGGAGAGGGTGACAACTTGACCACTTCACTAAGCTGCCACACCTCTCTTTTTTTTAATATTTAAATAATTAGTACAATTATTATCTAATGACTATTATCAAACGATAGCAAATTATAAGGAGAAGCTCATATATTTTCTTGTACATTAGGTACAAAAAGCTTATTTGAACAGTCAATTTAAAGCTGAATTAGCCAAACTAGATAAAAAAGGTGCTTTAATAATAGCAGATTACAAAATAAAAATATTAGAAAAAAGGATAAAAGAATCCAAAAGTCAATTTTTTGGAAAAAAAAGACATGCATTACATTCTATTCTAGTATTTACCAACAAAGAGAATAATACTGCAGGGGTATGGGCTTTTGACTATTGGTCATTAGATACAAAACAAGATGCATGGTTTACTGTATCCTCTTTTGATTCAGTTTTTGAAATGCTTAATTCTAAACCTGAATAGATAAAAATATTTTTAGACAATGGAGAACATTATCATAACTCAGAAATAATGGCAGTAGTTGCTAATTGGTATCAGTGATATTTTATTGAAGTTTGTGGTTGGTATTTTTTTGAACCCGGGAAGGCCAAATTATTAGTAGATTCTCATCATGCCATGGTAAGCCAATTAACTAGTTAATTATTATAATATTAAATATTAACTATTATATTATTAAATATCATATGCTATTGCACAATATGTACAGGTTAGGTATAATCTAGATTCTAAAGAGAAGATTGTAAAAGCTATACATAATTTAGCAGGAACTAATATAGCACATCTTGAACCAAAAAGAGACCATGTTTCAGTAAAGACTATGAAAGAAATTACAAATTATTTTCATTGGCAATGGCCAATTGAGGGTGATATGATAGGATTTATAAAAGCTAGAATACTTCCTAATATCAGAGAATAGAAAATATATACTTTATTAGATATTATCAAACTAATTGAATAACCAATTCATAAACCAAAACCTGAAGTATTAGTCTATTTCCATTTATCAAACCCTTGGATAATTTCAATTATATATAAAAAAAGATATTCTAATATTATTTCCATAAATTTATAAATTTAAAAAGTTTTTTAACTGGAGTAAATTATTTTATAATTATATTTAGTACAAAACATTGAAAGTAATTTATAGATCAATTGTCAATTGTTTGAATTTTAACTAATTTATTATTATATTTTAGAAACTATAGAATGTTTGATTGGTAATATAGTTGATGAAATATTTCTTTTGCCTTCTAGGTAGGCCTTAAAAAGCCATCAGAAACTAGGAAAACATGGTGTTGGAAAATAAATAATACCAAAGATTAAGCATTATTTTGAGAGATTTTTTTGACAGGTAATATAAACAAAATGAATCATATGACAGCTGCAGAAATGGTAAAAGAACTAGAAACACTAGTAGAAGAAAATGAAATTACTATAGAAGAGGTGCCAAGTATAAAGCAAGTTGAAATTGGATTGCAGCTTATGCTGCAGGTTTAAGACAGGAAGCGACTACTGAAAGGTGTAGTAATTCTGAAAAGAGTAGTAAATTATATAGAACTGCTAGAGAGGTTATTGTAGAAATCATACAAGATAGTAACAACAATATAACTCAAGTATGTGATGATAGAAGAGTCTGTCAGACTAATAGTAACAGATTAAGTTATAGAAAAGATTTCATATAAAGTAATGATCACAAAAACTTTAAATGCCAATCAAATTTGACAAAAAAAAGGGTTAAACTGCATTGGCATATAATCTCAAATATGATTTAAAAATCAAATCATTTATGTATTGTATGATTTCGATTATGTAGACCATTTATTATTAAATGTCACGGATGATGGTGAAATCGGATGATCGTGAAATCAAACCCTATTTAATATACGATTTTTAAAATTTTTA